TCCAGAGGACCAGATTGAACTTTTTTGGATTTTTCTACCTGGATTATTGAGCATGCATCAGGAGACGTATGAAGTTTTGTTAAATTATCTTAAGGAGATCAGAAGTTTTGGTCCGAACAAGAGAAAGTTTACAGATGGACAGAGGCTGTACTGTAACATGCCCACCTTCAACAGGTGTATAACAATGTCAACTTTTACATTTAGTTATGAGGATGTGGCTGCTTTTAATCAACTGATGTGTAGACTCCAACCTCTAGTTGGTTCAGCATGTCCATGATGAAATCAGCAGCCGCCATCAGAAGAGAAGTGAAGATGGTGCTCAGTTGGTCCGTTGTAACAGGAGGAGGAACTTCAAACTGAGCAGCTCGATGTACCACGGTGGTGATTCTGTGGCTCTGGTCCCACGCAGTCTGACACACATGCCGCAGCAATGACCAATATTTTCCACGATGGGCCAGCACCTAGAAAAATCCCAACAAGAAATACAGAAATACAACAGGGTACACATGTAATATGTAATTTTAAATATCGAGTATCTTCTCCACCATGGCTCTGCGGAGACATAAAGCAGCCTTTTTAATGGAGTCCAGAAGAAAGGCTGAGTCTGGTCTCTGTGTCTCTGCCTGCTCCTCCACAGATTGAGAAGTGCTTCTGTCCTCATAATTCTCCTCAGTCACAGAGTCATCACTTCTGACTGCTAGGATAAAAAGCATAAGACAGGAAGAAAAAAAAACTGGTTAGAACATTTATGCACGGACTGATTTCCTTACCGCTTTCCTGATCTTCTCTTTGTCTGGAGTCATCATAGGAGGCCCCGTCTAAGGCTGCTTTATGTTCACGAGAGGGCTGTGGCTGAGGGCTCCTCCTCATCAGAACACCAGAGTGGGCCAGAGAAAACCAGAAGGGGTCAAACTGGTTGTATCTGGTTAAGATTAAACAGCAAAGTAAAACCAGGGACTACAAATTTCAAATGGCATTTTGTTTGTTTCTTATTGATGAACCTTTGATGCACAGGTCCTCCAGGTATCTGGTGCAGGTCCTGATAGAGAAAGACCAGGTGTGCATGAGCCACACAGTAGTTGATGTGAGATCTCCACACTCTCTCCTCAGAGCACATGCTCCTCAGCTGAATCCTCCTCTTGTTGTGGTGCACCACATAGGACATCAAGGTCAGCAGGTTCTCCACCATATAGATCTCTCTACAAACACAAAACCACACAAGTCATTGACCAGCGTGTGAGTCTGATCTCAGCAAACACACACACAGGATACCTGTTGGTCCTCACACACTGCATCAGGCTGCGGGGCAGTTTACGCTTTAGCTTTCGTCTCGTTTCATCAAGTGAAGGAACGTTCTCGATCTGTTATTTAAATTAAAGCAGGATGTTTGTATTTCAAATGAAAATCAGTGTTACATTTTTAATTCTGAGTGCGGTGAATTCCTGAACTATACTGACTTCATTTATCATCTGTGCTACCTTAGGACAGATATTTAAACATGGGAACAACATATGCTGTGTATGAGTGCAGATTCATACTTTTACCTGTGTTTCTTTTGTCTTTGGAGTTGGAGGACATTCTTCTTGTTTATTTTTGTTGTTTCCCTCAAAATATTTTGTAGATAATCCCAACTTTTCATCCCGCCTGGCAAAGATAAAATAATTTATTCACAGTCAAATGCAGTTTTTAATTAGACTTTCTGTGGTAAAGAACAGTAAGAATGATTAAGAACACAAATATATTAAAATGAATTGATTATAATAATGACTTGGAGGGGGAACAACATATCCATGATTATAACAGAAATACACTTAAAACAAACAAACAAAAAAAGTCAATTTACAATTTGTTTTACAAACATTAGTGAAACATGATTGATAAAAACAGACCTGGACAGAAACTGAAATATGGTCTCCCCCCAGTTTAGGATGAGGTCTGGGCGACCTTCTTCCATGGTCCTCTGCATAAGCAGTGCTGCAAACTCCAAAAAATTTGTCTTGTGTCTAAGCTTCCACACTATCCAGAACACACAAACACATCAGTGAATAAATGAGACAAACTGTTCATCAAACTGAGTGATGCAGGGAGGAATGCTCACCAAGTTGATAGGCTTCCTGTAACGGGCTGCTGGAGATCAGATCATAAAGTTCAGTCACATCATCAGTGATCATGGGAGACTGTAGCATCTCTGCAGAAATGAAGACAGATGACTTCAGTATGGAGCTTAGATAAAACTGTTTGATTTGGACTATTTTCAACATGAACTTAATGGTAGATACTTCTGCTTTGATGTGAAGCTCAGTTTTAACATTTTTATTAATGGCGTTTATGGGATTTTACCATTGTCTGTGTTAGCAGTTTGTTCAGATGTGGTCCTCCACTCGTCCTTCCTGTGGAGCTCTTTAATTAGTTGAAGGTTTATTTTCATTTGAGCGCTGACTACGAGATGAGACTCTGATTTAGACTAAACACACAAAAAAAGCAAGAGAAATGTCCACTTCAGCATTCCTGAGGATATATTTCATACAAATTTAGAATTATTTACTTTATTGTCATGTGTATATTATGAAGGCAGATTTGCAAATGGTATCATTTAAATTGCATTACCTTTGATTAATCTGTCAGTCAAGATAAACTGTGATATAAATCTACATTTTTATTGTTTCTTACAGCCACATCTTGGTTGGGAATTCTGTATATTTCCAGATGAGCATCATGGAGCTCCTGAAGCAGCCTGCGACCACAATCCATCACTGCAGCAGCCATCTTGTGTTTCTTCAACACACGTAGAGCCTGTGGAGGAAGAGAATAACTGCATGTTAGTCCTCTGTTTGGATAGGATCTTGAACTGGTCAGATATTTTAAATGAATAAGTTTACTGATGTTGGTAAAAATGAATCAAAGTCACAATTTTTTTAACCTTATACATAAATATGTTCATGAACAGAAGTGATAAATGTTAAATTTATTATTATGAGGGTCAACATTTCTCCAACAGTGCATCGAAATGACCCTTAACAGGTCCAACCAGTAAACACTCAGGCTGCTTCCCCACCATTTATTTTTATAACAGCATGTTCAGCTACATGATGGCACAGTTGGTGGAGCTGTTGCCTCTCCGCAAGAAGGTTGCTGGATCGAATCATGGCTGGGGACCTTTCTAGGTGGAGTTTGCATGTTCTCTTTTTCATGCATGCGTGGGTTTCCTCCGGGTACCATACCATACCATACCACTTTATTTATAAAGCACTTAAAACAGCAACAAGGCCAACCAAAGTGCTGTACAGACAAAACAACAGGTAACACACAAAGCAAAATACAAAATGAGGTAAATCAGAATATAGACCAAAAACGATGCAGATAATGACGACAAACCAGTGTGGAGCATACAGGATCAAAACACAGATCATCTTGTGTTGAAAGCTATTGAATAGTAGTGAGTTTTTAAACGGGACTTGAAAACCGAGAGGGAGGGGGCCTGTCTGACAAGCAGAGGTAACTCGTTCCAGAGTCTTGGTCCTGCTACAGAGAAGGCCCTGTCACCTCTGGGTACTCCGGTTTCCTCCCACAGACCAAAAACATGCATGTTAGGGTAGCTGATTAACTGTAAACGGTCTCTATATGTGTGAGTGAGAGTGTAAATGGTTTTCTCGTTTGTCTCTCTGTGTCCTTCTGTTGGACGAGACCTGTCCAAGGTGTCTCCCGCATTTCCCACAGTGGCTGCTGGATATAGGCACCAGCGACTCTCTCAACTCAGTAAAGAAGAAGCTGGTAAACTTGATGCATGGATGTGCAGTACATCAACATACATAACAAGTATCTCCAAAGAGGAAATTATTTCCCTTCCATGTAAAACCAAACTTGATTTTTATGTGAACTTTTTCAAAATATGTTAACAAGTACATAAATACCATAAATTTAGGGAGAAATGCACAAGAAAATCTCCAAGACATGAATACAATTATTCAAACTATTAACATAAACTTTGTAAATCACTTATATTGTTTAAAAATGTTTTGACGCTGACAAATTGTTTTCTTTTCCAGTTATTTTTCTCCAAAAAGAGCCCGTATAGAGTAAATGATGTACTCAACACACACTAACAAGTTCAGAAGAGATACACACAGATAAACAGAACACAGACCTTTGACAGGTAGTAAGTGATGCAAGCCACCATGTGCATGATTAACTCTGACATGTTCTCTGTCCATTTTAGTTTCAGAACAAATGAATTCTCCTCCAACACTTCCAAACATTTTTTCAGCACCTGGACATACAAACACACAGTTGAAAAGTTGTGTAAACTGTGCAGTTTTAGGACTTAATTTATTATTTTTATTTTCCATACTTGCACCACAGGATCACAGGTGACCTGGTCGAAGATGAAAGGAGCCAGCAGCCTATAGCAGGTGACTACAGCCTGCACAGCCGTCCTACCATTGTTTAAACGCATCGTCAAATCTATGGCCACCAACATTCGCTCACACTCTGCCAGTCTGGCTTCCTGTGGAAACACATGAGCATCAATCAATCAATCATACATTCAAACACAAAGCACACTCATGTATAAATATTGAAAAGTTGTTTAATATGGTAAATTAATATTTAACGTACCCCCCCCCCCCCCCCACACACACACACACTCCTCTACTCCGAACTTTTTACCTGCTTCCATGTAAATTTCCCGCTGTCGATTGAGTGGAGTGATTCCTGTTGAACATTAATCGCTGTCTCAATAAAAATGGAGGTCACGAACACCTGACACAGATGAGGAGAGGCGTGTTGTACGGTTGGTACGTGCAGCCTTGAGACAGATGAAATAAAAAAAAGGAAAGTACTGTATTTTCCGGAGTATAAGTTGCACCTTTTTGCATACATTTGCAAGTCCTGTGACTTATACACCGAAGTGACTAATATAAGTTTTTTCCCCATATTTATAACCATATTTTTGACTGACACCTGACGCTTTCAATCATTCTGACATGGAAAATATTGAACACTACCATTTGCAGCCGCTAGAGGCGAGAGAGGGCCCTCTAGGCTTTCGACAACTATCAATAGGCATATTTGTTGATTCCAGCTAGAGCTGGAGCTGGAGCTGACGCAGAGGGGTCTGATGACAGCCCCAAGGAAGAAGAGGAGGAGGAGGCAGCCCTTCATCTCCCTCAGGAGTTGGCCGAACTCTTTACTAGAGACACCAAGGAGGAAGAATTCAATGGATTCAGCGATGTCGAATGAAAAAATAAATAAATAATAAATACATAGGTGTTTATGTCATTATTATGGCTTGGGGGCAGGTGGGTGTGTTATGTTAAAGCCGCTTCATTTCGGCATGTTTTGACCATTAAAGTGCATTTATTAAGGAAAAGTTAAACTGAGACACACCTTTGCTATAATGTTGAGCAAACAAATAATTGATTTTAAGTGTTAATCTTGATAAATTCTTGTTAAAGTCCTCCCGTGTACACTTCCGCGGCCGCCATTTGGCAGCCAATCGATTTTTGGCACAACACCGGCCCACGTTTCTGGGTGGTCAGCGGTGACGCAAAACAAATGCGACGCGTCAGCGGTGACGTATAATAGATGCGACTTATATGGCGAAGTGACTTATTTGTGTTTATTTCCTCATTATTAGACATTTTTGGACTGATGCGACTTATACACCGGTGCGACTTGTACGGCGGAAAGTACGGTAATTAAAAAAGGTTTGATCACACTTTGAAAAAAGGATCACAATTTGAAAAAAGGGTCACACTTTGATATGTGTGGATTGTATGTGTATCCATACTCACCCTGTTGCAGCAAATCTCTCCTGTGAGCTGTTGGATGTTGAGTTTGAGTCAGTAAAATGGCTCCACAGTTTCCTGCAGGCATTTTTAGCAATAGTATTCTGCTCTGTTTGAAATGCCACCTAGGAAAGAATTTAACAAAGCACATGCACAGTCCTGCTCTTCCTCTGTTTGATGCTAACTTTGACTTGGTGTGCAGCAAACCTGAGCCAAGTGACCCCACGTTGAAAGCAGTGGGACGGGCATGGACGCCAGCACTGGTAAGGTTGTCCCTCCTATAGCGTTGCCCAGAAGCTTGGCCTGGTGGTTGTAGGCTGCCACAGCAAACACATACTTCTGGTTGGGCTGTAGACCCTCCACCTTCAGGACACACTCACCTGAAACAACTGGTACCTGAAAACAAATCAAACTTTACATCACATGCACAAAGACAAATGACGAGGGGCACATGCCTCCCAAAAGTTGATATTCTTTTATGAATTAAGTAAATGGCACCATGGTCCCAGTTCCTGGAATGCTGCAGTCGCCAAGGCGAACCTTCAAGTTAACGCCATCAGCTGCTCGCGCACAAAGCTGATACCAGCTCACCTGGACAAAAACAACAGAGGAAAAAGAACAAAGCCGTCTGGGTAGATTTACTTTTTTTAGATTATAAAGTTTTGACAGATTTTCAAAGCAAATCTCACCTGCCCCTCTAAGTTATATGGAGCTGGAGCAAAGGTTAGGGAGTGGTCAGTCCGAGAGATCAGAATGGGAGGTGGAGGAGGGTTTTCATATTTCTCTGACTCTGCTCCATCTTTTTTATGAGCCTTAAGAGTGGTCATAAACAATTTCCTCTCCTCCATTGCTGCTTTTTCTATGAGGATGGAAGCTTCCTAAAAGGACACATTAGCACACCTGTTGAACAGTCACTGTACCTTCTTAAAACTTCAATCCACAAAGAAATTTAGACTGTGGAAACAGAAAATGTAAGACTGTGAGATTTGGAAAATATTTATCACCCAAAACGGGTGATTTCTGTTTAATTTCAGTTCAGACCAACAAATTAATTCAGAAAATAATTGTTAGTTGCAGCACTTCAGATATCATCACACTATTACACAAAATAAAATATTTCTAAGAAATCAGGTTTATTATTTATTCAAAAGAATATACACTTTCTGCAATTTCAAATTAAAACAGGCATTGTTATTTTCTCATATATAAACCCATAATATTTATATTATAGGTGATATATGAAATATGCGAGAGTGTGTAAAACATGACTTTTTGTGTAACCTCCAAAAATCCACTGGTTTTGCTCCTTCCATGTGGCTCTTCACTGCTATGCGTCAGCCAGGCTTTCTGGATCAGGAAATGAGCTTTGGACACCTTGTTCTTCTTGATCCGATCCAGCAGTTCAGATTCTGCAACTGACGGACAAAATGAGCCGAACAAATAGGATAAATCAACATGTTCTATTTTGTATAGGCTTCGCCCTTTAAGGCTGTTGCTTAGTGGGTTTCAACCCATCATGCGAAGCATCACACTGAAGAATTTAGTCCACTCCCACCTGCTGTGTGGGCCCCACCCGGTCCGTATAAATTACGTTAAGAGCGGGTAATCGGCTCCCATTTTTCTTCACCAAGCTAATAGCACTGTCAGAAGAACGAAGAAGGAAAGTTGTGTAGATGACCAACCTTTGTTAAGAATGCTTGGCCCGTCACGTCGACCTCCGGTCATCTCGGTGAGCTCTCCTCCCCGAGGAGAAGCTGACGAGCAGTCTTGTTTCAAGGTAAGCGCCGAGGAGTATTTCTCAGTGACAGGTCGCTACACGCTGGACAACGCCATCTTGTAATTTTCCTCTTATTGCCGGCCCTCGGAGCGAATCGGATGGTTCCTCCGGGACATGCGGCGTCAGCTGCAGCCCCGCTGCTCATTCCCTCCTGGAGAGCTTAGTGTCGGTGGAGGGGGGCTGAACGAATGCTCACCTCATCCCACTTCGTTTCGCATCAGCGATCACACCGCTCCCGGCCGACAGCGCCCTCTGGGGTTGCCCAGCGTAACCCAGGAGCGGCTGACATGAAGGGACCCTTTTTTACGTCCCGCGCCTTTCCCGCTAGTTCGGATGATCCGGCGGGAAGGTTTTTTCTAGGCTCCATCCCGGCTCGCCATCCTGATCCCATATGGCCTCGGTTTCCCAAAAGGATGTCCTACGGGACGAGGCCACAGCCGGTTTTCCTGGTAGATTGGGGGGTCGGTCTCCACAGTCCACGCCCATCTCCAGAGCAGAGGGGTTTCACCGAGCGGAAATTCCCTCAGTGCCCCCTGGAGCCAAGCCTGACAGAGGCCTTTCTTGGAGCAAGATGTCCAGGTGGACCAGCGTCCCGCGCCTCCGGTTAGCGTAACCCAGACGGTGACACTGATCTCCAACTGAGCTCACCAGCATGCGTTCCAGATGGCCGCAGCGAACAACATGTTACGCTGTTGGCGTACACGTTCAGAGGCGGGAGGAGATGTACGCTCCCTCTGCAGGGCAGCTGACGTCATCCCCAACCGGTGCGCCTTTTTTGCTGTCTGCCGGCCCGCATCGCAGCCGGAGGACGAGGTCCCAGAGGTTCTCCTGGCTTGTCACTCCACCTTCCCCTCAGGGGAGCTGCAGAAGCTTTTTGTTGGAGGGCCTTCATCAACGAGAGATCACTTTCAAGATACTCCACGGCTGCACAACGCCTCCCCAGCTCTGCTACGCCAGTCCCTCCCGTCAGACGTCCCCGGCATCCGGAAGTTCAACTTTTCCCTGACTCCGCCAACAGGGGACCTTCTAGAACAAGAAACTGGAGCTCAGGGGAAGATAACCAGGTGTTGGTTTGCTGGATGTGTATAAGATGACACGATGTGGAAATAACATCATTTTATGATGAAGTATCTTTTAGCCAGGCTGTCAGCTTGGATGATCTGACAGCGGCTCCATCACACACACTCCTCACGAATGAGCCTTTTAAGGTTGTTTCATTCATTGCCAGCGGTGCCAACACGCGCTCCTGCGGCGCGAGCAACCTTCACCTATAAGGCGCTGCGTTATGAGAGCGCGCACGCAGTTCTCAGCGCCCGCCGTTCACGTCAACTTAAACGTGAGACCGCGGTACGAGCCCAGTAACGTATCTCGCTCTCGGCAGGAGCGACACGCATTTTCACCGCAGTGGTGTCAAACGCACGCTCCCGCAGCGTCAACAGTTTCACAAGCCTCACAGCGGCTCCGCTCCTTCATCCTCGAAGAAGGTTTTCTGAATTAATACTGCAGCTCGTGGAATCACTCAAAAGCTCACGTGATTCTCAGCCAAGAAAGAATGTGTTCTGCAGAACGAGCCCAGTGGTAACCTTGCCCCACTGATGCCGCGCGCTGCTTCCTGACCGCACCAGCGTCAAACGCGCGCTCCCGCGGCAATCCTCGCTTAAGACGTCGCATCAACGAGGGCGCACACACACGACTCTTCAGTGCACGTCGGCTCATACACGCACCCGCCCCCCGAGCGTTTACACAGAGCAGCAGCACGCAACGTGAGCACAGTACAGATGAGCCGTGTCCCACAGCATCAGCAGACGCACATGATTTGCATTTTCGGGGGCGCGCGTTTTTTCTTTCTCCTTCAGCGCGCACTAGCTCACATCAGCATGCATGTGTGCCCACAGCATAAACATGTGCCCGCTTTATAGCTTTATAAACGAGTGGCAATGAGCGCGCGCTCCAGACGGATTGGCGAACCGTTTTCATCAGGGGATTCACTCTGCAGTACAGCTCAACCCCAGTGCGGAGGAATTCTAGTGATGTTTTCCGTCATTTCTAGAAAAGATCTCGTCCCCCTCTCGCAGAAGCTCAGGAAATTTTTATTAATGTAATTTCCAGAGTCTCAGAAGGAGAGGAAAACACAGGGTTCCTCTCACGTCACTCCCTGGTCCCAACGAACCGGAAAGATTAGATTTATTCTAGGTTTGTCAATTTTGAACTGTGAGAACAACATTCCATTAATGCGCCGAGCCACTCTGCAGCCGCCGCACAGAGCAGGGAAGATAATTCTGCTTTATCTGGACATCTGCTGCTGCTGACCAGCTTTTACAGACAGGTGGCAGCAGTGCAACTCACGTGAAACCGGCAGAGTGACATCAGCTGTTTCCGTCAGCAGACCTACGTCACACATGTCAGACTTCTCAGAGGCACATACATTTAATGAGTTGTGGGGGCGCTGTGGTTCTTCACACAGCAGCTCATTTAAATGTTTTTGGAGTGTCACACGGGGTTTTTGAATGTGAATCAACACTTTGCCTCTGTGCTGCAGAATCATCAGGGTTTTTTGATTCACACAGACAGCAAGTGACTGTTGCATACATAACTGGCAGGAGATATATGCACTCATTCCATGTGCCACATTGTGAGACAGATGCTGTGTGGGGCACACCCAATCTGCTCTCCATTGGAGGAGGGACTGACAGCTCCTCTGTCCCAAGTGCGTGAACGCATCATGGTCCCCAGTCCTACGACACTTGTTATTGGGGTGCTCGTGGAACCTGCCGTGGAGGGAGGACGCTCTCCTCCAGGCGGGAGGAGCGATCAGGAGTTAATCAGAATGGGCCAGCAGCAACTTTGGTCTGGCTGCTGTGCGGATCCTTTTTGAGAGGATGGATCTCTCTCAAGATGTAGTGCGTACGATTCAGGATTCACATGCTGCAACCACCACAGCGCTGTTCACATCAAGTGGTCAGTTTTTCAGCGCTGCTGTACAGAGAAAGGTGTAGAGGCCATTTCATGTCCACTAGGTGGTGTGCCGACCTTTCTGCAGCAGCTGATGGACAGAAATATGGCGTTCAGCTCGAGTAAAACGTTCACTGCGGCCATCTCTTCTTGTCACGAAATTTTCGGGGACAGAACAGTTTTTAATCATCTGATGATGAAGTATTTCTTAAAAGGTGCACAGAGAAGGCGTAGAGGCCACTTCATGTCCTCTAGGCGGTGTGCTGTCCTTCTGCAGCAGCTGATGGACAGAAATCTGGTGTTCAGCACGATTAACGTATGCTTCAACCATCTCTTCCTGTCACAAGGTTTTCAGGGTCAGAACAGCCTTTGCTGATGAATCTGCTGATGAAGCATTTTTTTAAAGGTGTTCAAGATGCAGGCCTGTTTCCATGCCCACTTGCTTCACAGTGGGATTTAACGCTGGTCCTGTGAGCCCTGATCTAGGCTCCATCTGAGCTACTGAATCAGGTTCCAATTAAATTCTTGTCTCTTGAAACAGCCCTGCTGCTGGCTTTAACATCCGCTAAGAGGGTGAGAGATTATCTGCCCTCTCTGTCACTCCGTCGTGTCTTGGAACTCAGACTGATGGCAGCTCAGCTGATCTAAGACCGAATCCAGTTTTTATGCCTAAAACATCACGAGCTTTTTAAATTAAGAGTGATATCGTTGGAGGGGGTTTTCCGCTTCCCCCACAACAATCAGAAGAAGAAGCATCTTTCCATCTTCTCTGTCCTGGGTGGGCGTTGACGTGTTGCATAGCGCGCACAGCTGCAATCCGTCAAATTTAACATCTGTTTGTGCATTATAGAGATGCATCTGCAGGTTGCTCGTTATCCACCCAGCACCTGTCACACTGGTTGTGTGAGGCTATTTCTGAAGCCTACGGAGCATCAGATTTTAGAGCCTCCTGTCAACCTCAGGGCGCACTCGACCAGAGGTATCGCATCTTCGACTGCTTTGCATAATGGTATGACAAGGCAGGATATTTGCACTGTGGCCGCGTGGTCAACACCCTGCTTATTTATTCACTTTTATCTACGTGATGTGACGGCCCGTTCCATGACACATTCTGTCCTTAGTGTTTTAACAGAATGATCATTGTTGTTTCATGGAACTCCGTTTAACTCACATCTGTCTGCATGCATTACAGTGTGAGATGTTGCTATCAGTCACAAGTTGTAACTGTTATTTGGTTCTATGGTCATTAATCAGTTCATGACTATAATTACCAATCAGTTCATTTGTTATTATTAATCTGTTCATACTGTTCAGCCATGAATCAGTTGTTTCATGCCCCCCCCCCCCCAACATCTTTCTTCCCTGTCGAAAGTTTCCAGGGCGTTCATGCATTCAGAATGCATAGTTACACAACATGCGTCTGTGCATGGTACACATAATTACACAATGCGTAATTACGTACATGGGGAGTTGAGTGACAAGACGTTTTTTGGGCAAGCTTCCGCTTCATACGGTGTTCGAATGGACCCAGTGAGGTGAGGACTACATCTGCTTCGCCCTTAACCCATTAAGCGACAGCCTTAAAGGGCGAAGCCTATACGAAATAGAACGTTGGTTAGGTACTGTAACCCCAGATTCTATGAATATAGGCGTCAATGTCAATGTCAATTTATTTATATAGCACATAAAAACAACAAAAGCTGACCAAAGTGCTTTACAGTTAAGACAGATTAAAAAATTTAATCTAGTGCCACTCAAAAACATAAGTTGACAATAAAAACAACACATAACAACAATAAAATAGGCGTAGCCCTTTAAGCGTCGGGCATCACTGGCTCCTAAGTGGCTGAAGAAAAAGCTATTTGGGAGCCGACTACCCGCTCTTAACGTAATTTATACGGACCGGGTGGGGCCCACACAGCAGGTGGGCGTGGACTGAATTTTTCAGTGTGATGCTTCACATGATGGGATGAAACCCACTAAGCGACAGCCTTAAAGGGCTACGCCTATACTCATAGAATCTGGGGTTACAGTACGTAACCAACGTTTTGGCCCATACAGCCTTTAACTGGGCAATATTTACAGAGACACTTTATGTTTAAAAATCCACACATTTACAGAGCCTTTAAACTGACATGATTCTACTATAACTGATTTCAAATCAGCAAATCGGTTCACAGTCTCTGTCTTTGTACAGCTGAGCCAAGAGTAGACAATGGGACGTAATTTGTTAAAAACTCAACAGTCAGTGAATGCACACATGATAACAGTGAGTCCAACCTTCATTCCACTGCAGTAACTTGAGGGAAACCTTGTGATGGATGATGTCAAGTTTCAGATGAAGGTCTCCGGTCAACAGAAACACATTCAAGGACTGTGTGCGCTCGTAGTCTTTAAAATATGATTCTCCCTCGGCTTTCGTTGATTCATTCTTCTCACTGATTTCACCTGCTCCAGTTTCCTCTTTTGGCAACGATGAGGATGTAGTCAATGGATTGACAGATGTAAACTTCTATAAAAGTCAGATAATTTCTGCTGATTCTTTAAACTATTCTCTCAACCAGCAATATTTATAAATATCTTAAATTAAAACTGTAATTTTTCCAGGCATGGAGAAAGAGTCAACCCACTTGCATGAAGGCAGAATCCGTCACTGCTGAGCTGTCCACTGGAAATAATGTTGATGCAGCCCGTGCCAAAGCTTCAAGACCCTTCATCACCACCTCACTCACTTTCTTCAGCAGCTCTGTATTAGACTTCTGCAAACACATAAAACAAGCCACATACTGTATATCAAACAAATACTGCAGCGTCATACAGAAAGATCAAATAATGTTTAACACAAAGAGCTGGTCTGGTACCTTAAAAGTAGATGAGGAGCTCAGTTGCTCATATTCAGCTCCTTCATAAGCTGCATGATATAAGACATGAATAGCAAAACAACACTGTCTCTGTTTGTGTGATGGCTACAGATTAGGAGGATGAAGTGTTATTCGTTTCAGCTTTCTGCAAGAGTCCAACACATTTCTCACCTGACTCTTGGTCTTGATTGATCTCCAGTTGTTCTTCCAATGTCCAGATCATCTCAGCCATCAACATGCAGTCAACAGTTGGCAGCTCACAGGCGAAGGCGACCTCACACAGCACAGACAGATACCAAACCCACTGCAAGCATGTTCCCAAACAACAGGAAATACTTTAGAGTAAAGTAATAAACCTTCACTTTTGACTCTGTACAGAAAGTAAAATGGAAATTAACAGCTTTGTATTTGATAGCAAGTGTAAACTCAGTTGGTATTTGCAGCAATATTCTTTTAAAAGATACCTGTTGGGGATTATCTATCTGTGTAAACTCTGAAGCATCCATTTGTTCATTCTGCATGAACACCTTCAGCTTTTCCCACACAAATAACAGAGCATCCAAAACCAGGTCTCCATCTGGCTGCAGCTCCTACATAAACATGCATATGTTGCACATAAACACACAAACACTGAGAAGGTCTTTCTTCAAACTCTGAACGTGAATAAGTCACTTACAGGATCAGAGCCACAAACTGATGTGTGCAAGGAGTCCATCAACTCAGTGAGTTCACAGCTCAGCAAAAAAGATTTGTGTTTGTCTGTGAAGACATTAAAATCACAAATAATCAAGACTGTAAAATAATATAGGTGTTGCTGTAATAAAAAAAAAAATATTGTGAGAAACAGTAACATTAGTGCATTTTATAATTAGAATAAAATATTCATACATTTGTCACAAGCTTGTTAAAAAAACTAAACAGCGATCAAAAGGTTTTTATTTTTGAATATGACGTAAGCTAAACTGGTGGTTAAATGTCATTAAAGTTTTCACATCCACAACATATGCATATTATGTATCATTTTATAACATAACACGTTATCAGTTCAATTATTAATCAAGATTACACCAAATAAAACCCAGTATTGTTACCATCTTTTTTGCTGCTCTTTTTGGGAATACTTCCCTGAGAAAACAGCAGATTGTTGAAACTGAGCAGTAAGATGAGCTCCCGTTCTGCCTTTCTGAAAAGCTGACCTTCCACACCCTGACAGAGAGAACAAGAGTACCGCATAGGGCACATTATACGCCTGTCGACAAATTATTATACAGCAATCTATAGCAAATGGCCCGGACAAGTAAAGATCTTTTATAACATTTGACCTCTATTTGTGACCTTGACCCTGAAGCTGGGGGGATAAATGTGTGCAGAGCACTCCGTCTGGTGACGATGCATGCGTATATGAAGTTTTATTAAATTATCTCAAGTGGATCAGAAGTTATGGGTTGGACAAAAGAAAATGTATGAATGGACGGATGGAGACTACATCATAACACGTCCCACCTTCGATGGGAATATAAAAATGCATTAAGTTGTTTGAAATAATTCAGAAACACAACAAATAATCAGCATGGAGAGTGGAAACAAGAATACTCACAGACAGAAAGTTCAGCATCTCTTTGGAAAGTTCTGTGAATGCCTCGGACTGTTTGTACTGAAGCAACAATTTGATGAACCTCACTGCAGACATGACGGGTATTTTATCATCTCCTGGTAATACAACACACCGGATTGCTGTACAAAACCTGACAATGTGTGACAAAGAGCCTGCATGCTGACTGAGGCTTACCTGTAGTCATTAAATCCACTGGAGTCCATACTGGTGTCAGTATGTCGGCAGACAGACTTGGACAGTCATCACATCTTTGCTCACCGGTACTTGTGACCCCTGAACATACAGGGGAATTTATACCTGTTCACTTCTACTATGTTAAGTTACATCACTGTAGAGGTTTCTGTGTTTTACTGACCAGATAGTATACTCATGCCAGCAGACAGGAGCTCCAGAACTACTTCATGTCGTTCTGCATCATCTGGCGTTTTCATCTGCAGGGGCCGTGTGTGACTGTCCCAAAGCGCCTCCAAAATGCCCCAAAACTGGCCTGCTCTGCAGTCAAACTGGTCCATTAGCATGCTCTCTGTTGGCGTACAAGGCCATGAACCCTACATAACAGACAGTACAGGCATGAAAATTTAGGGTAACCTTTCAAAGCAACATTAACTCATAAAATTATCTAACCTTTGTAGAAAGACACTAACCATAAAGAGGAATGGTAAAAAGAAACATGTAAAAGTAAAAGATGAGAAGAATCATCACTATAAACAATTTACAATAAACCCTTCCATTCCCACATTTCACAGCAGTGAAAAGCAGCAGATGCAACACTTTGAATGTTGAGAGTTAACACTGAATACACAACATGGCTGCAAAGTACAAGTTATTACTGTACTCTGGGGATGTCTTTGAGTGTGGTTTTATATTTGTGTCTTAGCGTGATTTTGGGTCTCCTTTTGTTGTCAAACACTGCTCGCTTGAACATCAAGGCACCAAGCTGAAACAAAAAAAGGCTCAGAATTAGAATTTTAACTGTAAGCTGCAAGATTTCTTGTTAATTTTATACACAGTAAACACTCCTTGCATTCTTCTGATGGTTGTTTTGATGTTTAAATTTAATTATATTACTGCATTTCAGTGTACATTAAAAAACAAAGTGTTCTTGCCTTTATAGATGCTTCTCTGTAAACTCTCTGAGTTTCTCTGTTGGCAGCAGCTTCACTTGTCTCCTCCAGCATCTCTAGTTCATTTATTTTACAGAGGGCACTCTTAGCAAATTCCTGAAACCATTTAAAGACATAAAAACAGAGAAAGAATTTGATCTTACAGTCAAAATAATTCCCACCCACAATAACAACCATAATATTTTTTAACATAGCACAGTATAAAGAAGACTTTCATCTATTGTTGGAACAGTGAAACCTTTATGCTGTAGATAAAAAACTAGCAGTGCAGAAATGTAAACAAAACTCCAGCTAATCTTCCTTTAAAGCATATTGGTGACAGAACGGAAGTCTGAAAATTGAAGCATGAGCACAAACAGATAACTGTGAATAAAAGCTGTGAATACTCTTTTATGACTGGCTGTTTGTCTGGATGCTAATGCCTCTCACCTCCGCCTGCACTTCAGCCTGGATGTCATGGTAACAGTAACAGACTGCACAGTAAAGTGTGACCATCAGCGTCAGATATTTGGCCGTCATCAAAGGAATGGACAAATTTAAACTGTTGCTCGCCCATAGAAGGTACTCCAGCGCCTGAACAGAAGCATCAACAGTGACATAAGAAGCACAAAGAAGTCACAGATACATATGCAGGTATATGTACCTCAGCCTATACTGAGTACTTCATTCAGTAGGTAAGAGTACTACACTGTATGTTGTGCTGCAGAAAGAAGAGAATGAATGAATCAAACTTTTATTGAGCTTGTCTTATTTTATAAATGTTACATTGGATCGTCAGTTTCAACGCTCTGTGTGAGATGTTTCTGACTTCACTTAACAATGTGTTTTTAAAGACTGTATCTATTTAAAATCGTTTAAACAATAACTAACAACAGCCATATAAAGTTTAGTAAATACCTGCTCACTGCACTTCACAGTCATCAAGTACTGGCAGATATTGTAAATGTGTATTGAACCTGGAAGAAATAAACAAAACAGTCATTATTACAAAATAAAAAATATTCTGAAACATAAGATGGTTACATATATTTTATCAGTGTGTCATATTCACTTGGAAAAGATCAGATACACTGTGAGGGGATTTGTTGGGAAATTTTGGGACACTTGGCAGCCATTGCTCGTTTATAATGAAAGTGTGTCAGTGCCTGTATAAATATATCTGTGCATATTTAGCCAATCTGGTATAGGAGGGGTAGGGTGGGAGGGGTTCTTTTTTTGTTGTATGTTTCCTGTGTTGTGTGTTATTAATGTAAAAAAACAATAAAAAAGACTTTGATTAAAAATATATATTTTATCAGCATTGTTCCTCCAACAAATGTAAGAATTAAGTAAATAATTGTTAGTGGTTTTATTCAAAAGTACAGTTATTTAATGAAATTATTAGCATTGTTTTGTATATTTTTTAAATAATTTTTTGTGGTTGCAGATCAAAATTCCATCCAAAGAACATTATTATTATTATTATTATTATTATTACTATAACTACTAGTATTATATTTATATAATTTCTCTGTGCACTTTAAGCTTCACCACATACTTTAAAGTTTAGTGTAATAAAAAAATAAAGTGCGAGCTGCACTAAAACAAAAGACAATTAAAAATAAGTTGTCACAATAAAAGGTAATTTTTCTAAGTTTTTATGGAGTGTATTTTTTAATTAACGTAACATTTTCAATATTGATGAGCTAGCTGACAGAATATTAAAGACAGTTTGTGTTCATCTCATTGATCTATCAGAGGACAAAATAAAAAAGGTAAAATTATTTATCAGTTTTCTGTTTCAGTTTTGCAACACATTTTTCTTAGTTTTTTTTTTTTTTTCTTAATCAGCATTGAAATACTGTGAAGTTTACAAAGTATAGCAGCGTACCATTATATGTCATCCAGGAGAGGCGTTCATGTTGTTGACATGTCTGCACCATGATCCTGATGAAGTTAAGCACACGCAGCAGAACACGGAGGCCTGTTGCACTAAGGGAGCTGCACTTTTTTCCCTCCTCAAAGATACACAGAGAACAGCCGAGCATCGCACGCATCTGAACATAAACAAAACACATTTTAATACACTGCATAAAAGCATTTAACAGCAGTTTAATAGAAATCTTTAAAAATATTCAAATAATTCCTCCATAAGGCACTCCTGTTGGCTAGTTTACCTTCATCACACAGGTGTCCTGTTCTGGGTCCAGACCTTCAGGGAAAAAGCAACAGATGAAGTGGTCCACATCTGTGATCTCAGTCACTTTCACTGAGCTGAATTGGAGCAAACAGAGACCGTAGCCATACCACCAGGCCATATTGTAGAGCTGCAAATGCACAGGAAGGGTGGAAAATTGAAATAGAATCTCTAAAGCTGTGATATGATATAAGCATATGTGGGAACTGCTGAAAAAACTTGAACACAGTCTGATGCAACAAATCTCCATATATGAATTTTGTTTTAAGCTCTGAAATAAAGAGGGTTGAAACAAAGTCAAAATACAAATGAAGAACTGACTGACCTTTGACCTTTCACCCTCTGATATGACTGCCAATATTATTAGGCAGCAATGATTATGATAACACAGATTCAAGACAGAAACTGAATATTAACAGGTACTTAAATTGCACTACCTTCATTTCATACAAAAAATCTGCAGTCTGCAGCATGTGCTCCTGGTACAACTTGTCCGGCAGGCGATGTTTGTACTTTTTCCATATCTCCACGAGAATGTTAATCCTAAAATAATAAGATTTTAACCCAAAATTAATTAGACTAACATATAAAAAAGACAATAAGTGGTTAAATGTCCCTGTTTAAAAGAATGAGGTAATGTCTTTGCTGTCAAATACAAAACCAAATGTAATGTTAAATGTTACTTAAAATCATAATGAACAGAAATGACATGAACCAGGGAAAGTGCTTACCTGCTATGAATCTATGCTAACTTTATGATAACCTTCACCTGCTATGAATCTATGCTAACTGATACTAATTACCTGCTATAAAGCTATGCTAACTGTAGTTTTTTTTTTTTTTTGGTTTTTATTTATACAAAACAAATACAAAAAAAACTTCAATGGCACACATAGCTGGA